TCTCTTTCTCTCTTGGGAAGGAAAAGATGAAGATGGGAGGGGGGTGGACGGTACAAAAGGAAGGAAGGAAGGAAGTATGAAAGAGAATATAAAAGGATAGAACAAAGACCGAAAGACGGGAAGGGAAGAGGAAGGAGGAAGAGGAAGAGGAAGAGGAAGAGGTAATAAAAGAAAGAGCAAAGGAAGCGAGCGGGGGGGGGGGAGGAAGAGGAAGTAAGAGAAGAGGACAACGGGAAGAACCAAGAATGCAAGCGAAGGAGGAAGGAGGAAGAGGAAGGGGAGGAGGGAGAGGAGGGAGAGGAGGAAGAGGAGGGGGAGGAGGAAGAGGAGGGGAAGGAGGAAGAGGAGGGAGAGGAAGAGGAGGGGAAGGAGGAAGAGGAGGGAGAGGAAGAGGAGGGAGAGGAGGGAGAGGAGGGGGAGGAGGGAGAGGAGGAAGAGGAAAGGGAGGAGAAGGAGGAGGGAGAGGACGAAGAGGAGGGGGAGGAGGGAGAGGAGGAAGAGGAGGGGGAGGAGGAAGAGGAGGAAGAGGAGGGGGAGGAGGAAGAGGAGGGGGAGGAGGGAGAAGGAGGAAGATGAGAAAGAGGAGAAGGAGGAGGAAGAGGAGAAAGAGAAGAGGGAGAAGAAGGGGAGGGAGAGGAGAGGGAGGAAGCAAAGGAGAAAAGAATGAGGGCAAGGAGAGGGAGGAGGGAGGAAGGGAAGGAGGTAGAGGAGGCGAAAAGAGAGGAAGGGGGAGGAGGAGGGAGGAAGGAGAGGAAGGGGGGAGAAGGCAAGGAGGAGGAGGAGAGAGTGGAGAGGAAGGAGGTTAAGAGGGAAAAGGAGGGAGAGGAGGCAAAGAAGAGAGGAAGGAGGAGGAGAAGGAGGGAGGAGGGAGAGGAGGCAATAAAGAGAGGAAGGAATGAGGAGAGAGAGGAGGAAAAGGAGGGGGAGAAGGCAAAAGACAGAGGAAAGTGAGAGGGGAAGGAGAGGGAGGAGAAGGAAGAGGAGGAGGGAGAGGAGGCAAAGAAGATAGGGGAGAGAAAGGAGAGGGAGAAGGAGGAGAAGGAGAAGGAAAGAGAAGGAAGGAGGGAGAAGAGGCAAAGAAGAGAGGGGAGAGAAAGGAGAGGGAGGAGGAGGAAGAGAGAAGGGGGAGAAGGAAGAGAAGGAGGAAGAGGAGGCAAAGAAGAGAGGGGAGAAAGGAGAGGGAGAAGGAGGAGAAGGAAGAGAAGGAGGGATAGGAGGCAAAGACGAGAGGGGAGAGAAAGGAGAGGGAGAAGGAGGAGAAGAAGGAGAAGGAAGAGAAGGAGGAAGAGAAGAGGCAAAGAAGAGAGGGGAGAAAGGAGAGGGAGAAGGAGGAGAAGGAAGAGAAGGAGGAATAGGAGGCAAAGACGAGAGGGGAGAGAAAGAAGAAGGAGGAGAGGGAGGAGGGGAGAAACGGGGCACAAAGGGAAGGGCGAAGGAATCAAATATCCGCAGGGACTTTGGCCCCGGGATGCAGACTCCAGGTATTTCTCCTGTTTGTAAAAGGGACAGACGCTCCTCATACACAAGGACACAAGAAAGCTACGCACGCGGAGGCTTTTATACGGACAGTTTTTTTTTTACAGAGATTTTCTTTTATGAAGCTAACTCATAGGAATGTTTATATGAGGACACACACACGTACGCACACACAGACACACACACTCGCAAACCAACACACATACGCAGACACACACACACACACAAACACACACAAACACACACACCGACACATACACTCAAAAACACACACACACACACACACACACGCACACACACACACACACATATATATATATATATACATATATATATATATATATATATATATATATATATATATATATATATATATATATATATATACATACATACTTACACTCACGCACACACACACACGAAATACATATCCACAAACATACTTTGAAAACCGTACATTGACACACATTTCATTTCCTCCCAGTAATGATAGTGATAACGGTAATAATAATAATAACAATAATAATAATTGTAATAATAACAATAATACTAATGATTATAACAATAATAATGATTATGATAATAATAATAATAATAATAATAATAATAATAATAATAATAATAATGATAATAATGATAATGATTATAATAATAATAGTAATAATAACTATAACTATAATAATAATGATGATAAAAAAATATAACAATAACATAAATAATAAACAATAATAATTATAATCATACTAATTGCTACTATCTTTATCATCATTACCATTACTGTCATTACCTTTAATCTTACCAGTGATCATGATAATCAGCAGGATAATAATCTTATTAATAAGATATTAATCAGTACATCAAATAAAACACATAAATGAACACAAAAGAACAATTAAACTTACGAACCAATGATAAAACGCAGATTGGCTTGTTAGTGGGTTTTATTAATCGATCCAATAACAGATCAATCCCCCCCCCCCCCCCCCACTCACTCCCAGTAATGAAGGTGCTACCTGAGTCTCAC